CACACAACAGAAAGCAAAAGACACACAACAGAAAGCAAAAGACACACTTTCACTGGTCTCCAAGTGTCAGAAAATAATAAACATAAACAGTAAAAATAAATGTTCTAAACTGGAGAGAGGTGAGTTAAAACTAAAGATAGCATAATGCTTGATTAAAGATATTTTTCATTCATCTATATATAAAACAGATTGTAGCATCAGCTTTTACAATGAAAACTGATTTTTCTGTGGGTTCATATCTGTACACAAGACTATAAGATGCTGGAGCAAAAGCAGGTCATTCAGCCCATTCAATCTGTTTTGCCATTCAATTTAGTATTTACAGGAGTACTTGAAATGTAATAGCATACAAGGCCCATAGGTCAAGTGCTAGGAAACAGATTTGGAATAGATGAGTGGCTGACAACTGGTGTGGACATGATGGACTAGGGGCTTTTATCTGTGCTGTAAGAACTCCGACCTTCTGGATCTATGACTCTCTTGCTATACCTCTCTCTATGAGATCACAGCTGATGTGATAATCCACAACTCCACTTTCCTGCCTCTTCTCCATAATCCTTGATTCCTTTACTATACTTATTAAAAATCTGTCTATCTCAGCCTTGAATATTCTTAATGACCCAGCTTCTAAAGCCTTCTGTGACAAAGTATTTTGCAGATTTGTTACCCATCTGTCTAAAATGGGTAAGCCTTATTCTAAGATTTTGCCCTCTGAGCCTAGAAAAGGAAACAATCTCTCAGCATCTACCCTGTTAAGCACTCTAAGAATCTTGTGTTCCAATAAGGTCACCTTTCATTTTTGTAAACTCCAATAACCACAGGACCATCCTACTTAACCTCTCCTCATAACACTGTCTCTCCATACTTGAGATCAACCTAGTGAACCTTCTCCGGACTGCCTACAATCTCAATTTATCTATCTTTAACATTTTTCACAGTATTCTAGATGTGGTCTAACTAGTATCTTGTATAGTTTAGTAAGACATCCAGCTTTTTATACTCCATTCCCTTTGAAGTAAAGGCTTTCATTCCACTTCTCTTCCCTATTCAGTTCTGATCTCAGTGGATGGTGGTACAGGCTCAGGCTCCTGAATGACCTACTCCTGCTTCTATGTTCCTATTTCTCGCTAAATCTGTATGCTAGCTTTTTGTGATTTGTGCATAAGGACTTCAAAATCCCACTTAGTTGCTGCTTTCTGAAGCCTTTCTCAATTTTTGTTAAAAATTCATTTATGAATGTGGGCGTTGCTGTCTGGGCAGCATTTATTGACCATCCCTAAGTGCCACTGAGAGAGTAGTGGTGTTCGAATTGCTGCAGTCCATCTGCTGTACATAGACTCCAGTGATATTAGGATTTGAATTCCAGGATTTCTGCCTCTGTCCTTTCCTTTCTTGAGCAAGGGCATCATATTGGTAGTTTTCCAATTCATTGAAAAATTCCCAGAATCCAGTGAGTTTTGGAATACTTTGACCAATGCTTTCATTATATCTGCAGGCATTTTCTTTAAATCTCTTGGATGAAGGCCATCAGGTCCTGGCAACTTGTCTACTTTTCGACCCATTAGTTCTTCAAACTGTCGATCCCATTCAGTCCCAAGACCAACCTTCCCATTAGGACCTTGCTTATCTGATATCTTAGTGTCCTCCAATGTGAAGACCAATGCAAAATATCAGTTTGAAGTTATCTGCCATTTTATCAATCACTTCCTCCAAAGGTCCCACATTCGCTTTAGCTACTCTCTTTCCTTTTTTATACATGCAGAAACCCTTGCTATTTGTTTTTTTTTAAACTTCTAGACAATTTACTTTCACGATTAATTTTTTCCCTATTAACTAGCATCTTAGTAATCTGTTGCTGGTTCCTAAATAAAATCCCAATTTGCTGGCCTACTAACAGGTTTCACCATTTTGCATGTCTTAGTTGATTACTCTCTTGATTAGTTTTGTTAACCACAATGTTCATCCTTCTCATCAAGTTGTTCTTTCTGACCAGAATAAATTTTTGTTAAGCATTATGAAATATCTGCGTAAATGTCTATCACTACTCATGTACTGAACTTACCCTTAGCCTATTTTCTCAGGTCACTTTAGACACCTCTTTCTTTAGACCTCTGCAATGGCCATTAATTAGGTTGAAGACATTGGTTCGAGACTTGAGTCGCCCTCCCTCAAAGTGCGTTTGAAATTCTACCATGCTGTGCTCACTACAAGATCCTTAACTACAAAATCTCTTATTAATCCTACTTCATTTCACATTACTTGATATAAAATAGCTTATTCCCAGCTAGGGTGTGTAACATACAACTCTAAGAAATAATCTCTGATGCATAACTTTTGTCTTCCATGTTCCCCTTGCCTATGTGACTTATCAAGTCAGTATGTGTATTAAATTTACCCAATTGCAGTGCCATTCTTATGCACTTCCATTATTTCATGATTTATATGTTGTCCTATAGTGAGGCAACGCTTTAGGGACTTATGAGTCCCACTTGCAAATTCTTTCCATTACTATTCCTCATTTTACCCAAACTGATTCCACACCACAATCTATTGCATCTATATCTTAGCACCTTAGCACTTCTCTGACACCTTCATTAATTAGTGAAGCTACTCCATCTCCTTTTTTTTTTGCCTATTTTTCCAGAATGTCAAATATGTAGTTCCCGGTCTTTGTCACCCTGTAACCATGCAATCTATAATATCTTAGGATGCAGCCCATCAGGTCCAGGGGATATATTGGCCTTAGCTGGTGCATTTATTTGCTTCCCGATATTTGGCTTTTGAATATTTACTATTTTTGTAATTCTAGAGGTCTTTAACAGTGAAGTTTGATGCAAATTACATACTCAACTTCACTTAATTTCCTGGCACACATTTGTTATCCTTCTGAAATGTCACCCCAGTCCATGTGTGACTTTGCATTTTCACATAAGAATCTGTTTGCAGTGCACATTGCAAGCCACAAAGAAGTGCGTGAGGAGCGTGAATGCAGAAATGGACCACTCAGAAGGCCCACCCTGATTCTCCAACACAGGACAACTTCCAATATTACTCAAAGGTCCCCTATATGTCGACCCTCATACCCTCTCATACATACTTGCCCACAACTTCCATGCCCGCAGCTCATGTACCATTCATAATTTCTCAACCTTTATCTACTGGGTACTGTCCTTAAGATCTAAACAAATAGCTGTTTTAAAACTGTGAAAAAATAAAATCTCTAACAATCTAGCATGCCTTTGAATTCAAGCCTGCAATCACTGATACTGGAAAGAAAAATTAAACTGTATCAACTTTAAAAACAGTGCAATCCATTAAATGCCTATTAGGCCTGTAAACAAACAAGAAATCACATCAAAGGCATACTCTGTTATTAAACCTTCAATCATTCTTAGATCAATAAAATATCTGCTTAATTGAATCCATTAGAGCTTTGAAACTCAGTCAAGCATTCATAATGGCCATAACTGTAATAAAAGATTCAGGCAGCATTTCTGAAAATGATATAACAGAATGGTGTGCTGTTTCCATTTCAAAGGACAGTTCACGTCAATCAACTGAGAGGAGTAGGTGCAGAAATATTTTCTAATCTCAAAAGCAAGGATTCTTTCAACAGACAGTTATCAGTTAATTTAACATCACAACACAAAACATGTCAGCAGATGTCAACAGGACATTGCTTTTTACATTTAATGTATTATCACAATTGATTCATTGGGAACAGCACTACATTGCATGAAAACATTTACACAATGGTGTTCAATGCAAAGTCTCAACCTTTATAAAAACAGATTTCTATGATGAATTACTGCACTTGAAATAGTTTTATTGCAATAAACAATCTAATAGTGGCATTTGACTACGTCAAAACATTTTACACTCGCCTTTCAGAATGTCCCTGAATCTTCAATAGGGTTATCCAAATAATAACAAATTCCCCAAGGAGAATCTGAACCTTCAAAACCCAAATCAGCACATGAAAAGAGCATGTTGGAAGAAATGCAATTTTCTGCAGTGCTCACAATGGCGACCCTGACCTCAGAACAGAACAGGTATGTATCTTGCACATCTATGGCCCTCCCAATCTATGAAAGGGCCAAATGAAAATGGAATGTGGTCACGAAGGCAGAGGTAAGTTGTCTCTCCCGCAAAAAAAACCGATGTTAAGTGTTTGTGACCCAATTCATACTTCCATACTGATGAAAGTTCAAGCTTTGGTTTTCATTTAGATTAAAATGAGAATGGTGGGCTTATTATTTTAGTTTCTCATTGACAAGAAACCCGCTTAACACTGTTAATATACAAATAGTAAGAAATGTTTGTGTACCAATTTAGGATGTATCCATAAATCACACTAAGGATAGCTCTTCAAAACCTCCATGACATTCAACAAAGATAGTTTAATAATGGTTATTAGTGAAAACAAAACAGCTGGTCGGACTACTTTGTGTATAATCCACAATACGGACATTCTTGTGATAGAGATAAAACACCTTTAAACAATGAGCTTTTGATATTTATAGAATGGCGTGCTGAAAATAATGAAATGATTTTAAAATACTTAAAACAAAGACAAATAAAGTGCCACGCCTCTACAAACCATAAACATTATTGCGATACAAACAGGTACAAAAATGGATACACTTGAAGAATTTCAGGGTCTATGAGCAAAGCAATCACATTTTTGGTAAGTTTGAATTTACCTGGACAAAATCTGCTTGTCGTGCATCCAGTGGAACAACCGAAGAGTCATGACAGGAAAGAACTTCACGTAAGAGGGACAAAGTGTGATTCAGGGCAGTGGTAGGTCCAAGGTCTGGAGGAGGGAGTTCAACCTGTGTGAATTAAAATTGAGGCATTACGTTCTTTCTTTTTGGTCATCAAATCAACCACTTGCCTTCATGTAGTACTTTTAATGGAGTAAGTTATCCCAAGGCACTTTACAGGGGTGTTATCACACCAAATCACATCATGAAATAACAGGACAGCTTAGTCAAAAAGGCAAGAAAACCTAAAGGTAGGAGAGATAGATAATGAGGTGGAGAGGGTGGCGGATGGAATTCTATAACCTAGAGCCTCGATTACTGAAGATACCGCTATTAATGGTGGAGTGATGACTATTGAGCATGTGCAACAGGCCAGAATTAGGGATACAGAGGTGCATGATGTTGTAGATAATGTTCCTTTTAAGCTGCATGAGTCTGTGGCCACACAGAATAGGAAGGTTAATCACACAGGAACAGAAGACAAACAAGTTATACAGAAAAAGCAGTCCATTTAATATTTGTACCCTTCACCCACCTCCAATATTCACCTCCACTTGGACCCCTTCTCCTGGTCTCTTTCCTGCCCTCGAACTCTTCATCGCAAACTGCCGACATGACATTGGCTGTCTCAATTTCTCTGCTCCTCTCACCCACTCTAACCTGTCCCCTTCTGAAATTGCAACACATCACTCTCTTGGCTCCAACCCTAACTTTGTTATCAAACTGGCCAACAAAAGTGGTGCTGTTGTAGTCTGGCAAACAGACCTTTATCTTGCGGATGTTCAATGTCAGTCTCGGGACACTTCTTCCTCCTGCCCCTGTGGGCCATGTCCCTGTATCCGAATATCAAGCCATTGTTGCTAGAGCTGTCACCGACCACATTACCTCTGGAGATCTTCCCCTCACTGCCTCCAACCTTGTAGGCTTCCAATCCTGGACATCCCACTTCTACCTCCTTCCCAGAATCCACAAACCAGACTGCCCCAGTAGGCCTATCGTATCAGCCTGTTGCTGCTCCACTGAGCTCATTTCCTCCTACCTTGACTCCATTCTCTCTTCACTTGTCCAGACCCTGCCCACCTCTACATCCGCGATTCCTCTGAGACCCTCCACCATATTGACAATTTCCAGTTCTCTGGCCCTAACTGCCTCCTATTCACCATGGATGTCCAATCCCTTTATATCTCCATTCCCCACCAGGATGGTCTGAGAGGTCTCAGCTTCTTCCTTGACAAGAGGCCTGAACAATCCCCATCCACTTCTTCAAGGTGCAGGGCTGGATGAACATGGCAGGCCGAGCAGCATCATAGGAGCAGAAAGGCTGACGTTTCGGGCCTAGACCCTTCATCAGAAAAGGGGGAGGGGAAGGGGGTTCCGAAATAAATAGGGAGAGAGGGGGAGGCGGATAGAAGATGGATAGAGGAGAGGAAACAAACAGGTCGAAGAGGCGGGGATGGGGCCAGTAAAGGTGAGTGTAGGTGGGGAGTTAGGGAGGGGACAGGTCAGTCCAGGCAGGACGGACAGGTCAAGGGGGCGGGATGAGGTTAGTTGGTAGGAGATGGGGGTGCGGCTTGAGGTGGGAGGAGGGGATAGGTGGGAGGAAGAACAGGTTAGGGAGGCGGGGACGAGCTGGACTGGTTTTGGGATGCGGTAGGGGGAGGGGAGATTTTGAAGCTTGTGAAATCCACATTGATACCATTAGGCTGCAGGGTTCCCAAGCGGAATATGAGTTGCTGTTCCTGCAACCTTCGGGTGGCATCGTTGTGGCACTGCAGGAGGCCCAGGATGGACATGTCGTCTGAGGAATGGGAGGGGGAGTTGAAATGGTTCGCGACTGGGAGGTGCAGTTGTTTATTGCGAACCGAGCATAGGTGTTCTGCAAAGCGGTCCCCGAGTCTCCGCTTGGTTTCCCCGATGTAGAGGAAGCCACACCGGGTACAGCGGATGCAGTATGCCACATTGGCAGATGTGCAGGTGAACATCTGCTTGATGTGGAAAGCCTGCTTGGGAACCCTGCAGCCTAATGGTATCAATGTGGATTTCACAAGCTTCAAAATCTCCCCTCCCCCTACCGCATCCCAAAACCAGTCCAGCTCGTCCCCGCCTCCCTAACCTGTTTCTCCTCCCACCTATCCCCTCCTCCCACCTCAAGCCGCACCCCCATCTCCTACCAACTAACCTCATCCCGCCCCCTCGACCTGTCTGTCCTCCCTGGACTGACCGATCCCCTCCCTAACTCCCCACCTACACTCACCTTTACTGGCCCCATCCCCGCCTCTTCGACCTGTTTGTTTCCTCTCCTCTATCCATCTTCTATCCGCCTCCCCCTCTCTCCCTATTTATTTCAGAACCCCGTTCCCCTCCCCCTTTTCTGATGAAGGGTCTAGGCCCGAAACGTCAGCCTTTCTGCTCCTATGATGCTGCTCAGCCTGCTATGTTCATCCAGCCCTGCACCTTGTTGTCTCAGATTCTCCAGCATCTGCAGTTCCTACTATCTCTCATCCACTTCTTCACTTGGCTGAATTTGTTCTCTCACTGAAAAATTTCTCCTTTAATTCATCTCACCACTGCCAAGTCAAAGAGTGGCTATGGGCATCCGCATGGGTTGCAGTTATTCCTGCTTCTTTATGGGGTATGCGGAACGATCCTTGCTCCAGTCTTACATTGGCCCCTTCCCACAACTCTTTTCTCGGTATATCGACAACTGCTTCGGTGCCACTTCATGCTCCCACCAGGAACTTGAAAACTTCATTCATTTTGCCTCCAATTTCCACCCCTCTATAACCTTCACATCATCCTTTCCTTGATGTCTCTGTCACCACTTCAGGGAATAAACTGTCCACTGCATCCACTACAAAGCCACTGACTCCCATAACTACCTAAACTGAAGCTCATCATACCCCACATCCAGCAAGGACCCCATCCCATTCTCCCAGCTCCTCTGCCTACGTTGCATCCATTCGAACAATGCCACCTTCCAAAACAGCGCTGCTGACATGGCTTGCTTCTTCCGTAACCGTGGTTTCTTGCCCACTGTGGTTGACATGGCCTTCAACCACATCTGACCTATCACCCATGCTTCCTCCCTTACCCCTTCCCATCACTCATAACAGTATGCTTAGGTTCCCCTTGTCCTCACTTTTCATCCATCAGCCCCCGCATTCAAAGGATCATTCTCCACCATTTCAGTCAACTCCAACAGAAAGCCACCACCAAACACATCTTCCCCTCACTCCCCCTGTCTGCATTTCGCAGGGATCATTCCCTCCGGGACATGACCATCCATTCCACAACCACAAATACCACAACCCCTCTCCACAGCACCTTCCCATGTAACCGCACAAGGTGCAACATCTTCACCTTCTCCCTGCTAAGCATCCGAGGGCCTAAACAGTCTTTCCAGGTGAAGCAGCATTTCACCTGTACCTCCTCCAATCTTGTGTATTGTATTCGCTGCACCCAATGTGGCCTACTCTACATTGGAGAAACCAAACACAGACTGGGTGACTGCATCACTGAACACCTCTGGTCTGTGCACAAGCATGACACTGACCTTCCTGTAGCCGGTCTTTTTAACACAGTATCCTGCTCGTGTGCCCACGTCTGTCCTCAGCATGCTGCACTGTTCCAGTGAATTACAGCGCAAACAGGAGGAACATCACCTTCAAACAAGGCACTTTACAGCCTTCTGGACTTAAAAATATTGAGTTCAACATCTTTAAATTGTGAACTATTTCTTCCTTTTCTTTTAGCGTGTTATCATGTTGTCCCCTCCCCATGACAGTTACTGTCCTTTCAACTTGGCAGGACACGCAGCATTGTTCTGCCATCCTCACATTCCGATCACTTAATCTGAACATATTTTCTCCACCAGCACCCTACCCCCAAACCTCCCACCCACAACAGTAGCATAAATGCTGTTCCCTCCACACTTCACTTCAGCTCTGATGAGAGTAATCTAGACTCAAAATGTCAGCTTGCTCTCTCTCCATGGATGCTGTCTGACCTGCTGTGATCTCCAGCAATTGTTATTTTTAATGCAGATATATGGCAATCTGAAGAGGGTCACAGTGCAACAAATGGGAAATTAGAGGAAATAACGGTTGTAGCAGATTATAGAGATGGAGGAGACAAAGCAACGGAGGGGTTTAAAAGCAAGGATCAGAATTTGAAAACTGGGGGCATGTTGGACCGGGAGTCAATGTTGGTTTGGGATTTGTCTTTTTATAACTTGTATTCTCAAAATCACAGAAATGTTATGGTGTAGAAGGAGGTCATTTGTCCCATTGTGTCTGCATTTACTGTTCAAATGATCATCATTAACTACTGGCAATCTTCTGTTTTCCCTTTATCTTTGCGCATTATTTCTATTCAGATAATTATCCAAAACCCTCTTGAATGTCTCCATTGAATCTCCCTCCCCTATTCATTTCAGCAGTGCATTTCAGACCTGAACTATTCACAGTGTGAGCAAGAATCTTCTCACCTTGCAGTTGCTCCTTTCGCAAATTATTTTCAATCTGTACCCTTGGCCACAAAGCTGCTTCTTGATCCTTTTAAGACTGGGAACAGCTTCTACTCTGTCTAGCACCTCATAATTTAGAATATCTCTGTCAAATCTCCTTTCAGCCTTCTTCACTCCAAGGAGAACAGTCCCAACTTCTTCAATCCATCCTCATCATTGAAAGTTCTTATCCCTGAAACTAGTTTTATAAATCACTTCTTTACTTTCTCCAAAGTGTTCACATCCTTCCTATCAGGTGGTGCCCAGAATTGTAAACAATAGTTGAGCTGAGATTCAACAAGTATCTTATATAAGTTCAGCATAACCTCCTTGCTCTCAGACTCTATGCCCCAACTAATAAAGCCAAGGGATACTATATGGTTTATTAATTCCTCTCTCAACCTGTCTATCACGTTCAGAAATCTGTGCATATATACATAAGGTCCCTCTGCTCTGCAGCCCTTAGAATTTTACGCCCTATTTTATGTTGTCTTTTAATTTTTTTCTCTGCCAAAACACATCATGTCACAATTCTTTGAATTGAACCTCATTTGCCAATTTCACAAACTTTTCTATATCCTTTTGGAGTTCTACATTGTTCTCCTCACCTGCGGAGTTTTGTTTTACGGAGGCTACAAGGTAGACCAGTTGAACAGCAGAGGTTTCTAATAGTGGAATTCAGAGTTAACAACTGCATGGATGAGGATATCAGCAGTGGGGTGGCAACTGATGTTATGGAAGTGGAAGATGGTGTACGATAACTAAAAACGGATTTGGTTGAGTGAAATTGCTAATCAACGCAGTCACAATTTGTTTTGACCTTTGACACGAATACAGTACATGAGAATTAGGAACGGGAGTGGGCCATCATTAAGATCATGGCTGATTAGGTTGCAACCCTAATTTCACATTCCTGTCTACCTTGGATAACCTTTCACCCTCTTGTTTATCAAGAATCTATCTACCCCTGCCTTAAAAATATTCAAAATCTCTGCTTCCACCATCTTGAGGAAGGGTATTCAAAGACTGGATAATTTTGATAACTCTATTAAGGAGGACAGGCAGGCAGCTGGTGGTAGGTCAATTTTTATGGTTGCATCCTATATCATTACTATTAGTACAAGGTAGCATTCAAGATATGCATTAAAACTTTAGGATTTGCTCGTTTCAGAGTTTAAACAAAGTACAAATGGAAAGTGGACATTATCCAAAAAGGACTTCAGAACTTTATGAAAATCCTGATTGAGCACATTACACATACAGTTAAGAACAGAACTACAGTCTCTGAAGTACCCTTACTAATCTTTCAGCTGCTCCATCTACAAAGAAGTGTATTTTGGCATCAGCAGTGAAAAGAATGCAAGAAATGAAATATATTCCGAAGCCGCACACAGCTAGTTATTTTCTTTTACCATCAGTTGATTTGTACTGGAAAAGGATCTACTGAAAGTTACTGCAATGATTGATGTTACTTCTACAATTCACCTTATCCATTAATTTACTGGCATGAAGACTCAGGCTATTGAAGAACATTTTCTTGCTGAGAACATGCATTTCTTCAATTGTGGTCAGCAGTGTAGCTGCACAGTTTCCTACAATTCCACTGTTGAAAAGAAAAAGAGCATCAGAATTGCAAGTTTTGGTTCAATATTGTCAATAGGTTCCTGGATAAATACCCCACACAAACCTGGAGATTACTGGTCTATACTCAGACAACTCTACTCAGGGTAAGGTGACAGTAGGAGTACTATAACTGGCACCTTGGCTACAGCTGATGACTTTCCTGCAATCACTGAGCCACTACAGTTGAATAGACTGAACACTTATCCAAGTTCATGCAAAGAACAACTACATTATCCTAATATACTGGAAGATTAATTATGTGAGCCAAAGGGACTTGAAATGTCCCAGGTTTAATGCACAACTCTGCTCAATTACTCAAAAATATAAGAAACATGAGCAGAACAAGGCCATACGATCCCTTAAACTTGTTCTGCCAGTTAATATGATCACAGCTGATCTGACCTTGATCTCACCTTCCTGCTATTTGCCATAATTTTCAACTCTCCTAAAGTTCAAGAATCTGTCTATTTCAGCTCCAAGTATATTCAATGACTGAGCCCTGATCACTGCAGTAGGCCCACAGAGAAGAAATGAAATCTTATATGAGAGATTCCTTATTTTGTATCATGCCCCCTAGTTTTAGATAACCTGGAGAAACAACCTCTCAATATCTACCCTGTTGAGTCTCTTCAGAATCTTGTATGTTTTAGTAAGCACCTCACATTCTTCTAAATTCCAGTGAGTATAAGCCAAACTGCTCTACTTATCCTCATAAGACAACCCCATCATCCAGTAATTAACCAAGTGAATATTCTCTCAACTGCTTCAAATGCAAACATATTCCTCCTTAAGTAACAGCAAATCAATGCAAAATACTCTAGATGTGGTTTTATCAATACCTTGTACAATTGTAGCAAGACTTCCTTACATTTATTAACAAACCCCCGGCAATAAATTACATTTACCTTCTAATTACTTGCTGTAGTTTCAGGATTACTTTGCCTATTGGACCTTTTTTCACATTGTGGTCAGTTTGACTGCTTCTTAAATCTGTTTTGAATCACAAGCTTGCACACTTATGGTGTAAAAAAAAAATCAATGCACTTGTTGAGAAATAAGATATCTTGTTTTATTGCTCACCTGATAGTATAGTGATAAAACTTGAGGAGATTGGAGAGTTTGTACAATAGGACTGCACCAGGCTCTGCTACTATAACCTGTTCAATACGCACCTAAAACAGTTCCAGACAAAACACACTGAATTAATATTGATTCAGATTTGCTGTAACTAACTTAATGAAATTTATTCTAAACAAGAGTGAACTCAGGATTGTATTCAATTACTTTTTCACTCAAACACACAGACATGTATAACAAGAACACAAAGTATATGTGTCTCATGGAATTTGCCATTTTATATGTTACAATGCAAAATAATGATAGCAGAACTTAATTTAACAGGCATACATTTACTTAAAAAATGAAATAAAATGCAGAAAACACTGTTTTAGTATCACCAAGTGCTAAGAAGAAAAACTATAACCGTGAGCAGTGGTCTTGGAGAGAGGCAGTGCAATGATTGCATTGTGATTGATACAAGTAAAGCCAAGATGATGCAGTCTCTCTGAAGCAAATTGCAGAGAAGAAATCTTGGAGAAGGATTAAATTTTCACCAGTGCTACAGGTGGAGAGCTTCAAGAGAGAAAGAACCAGGACAACGATTATTGATGACTCTCACCAGTGAGGTCTCAGTCAATCTGATCATTTGCTGGAGACTGGATAGCGTAAAAGCATGAATGCACAGCTTGTCCTTGTGGAAAAAAGTTGTGGACAAAGCTTGCCTCAGAGAATAGTTAGCTGGCTCAGGCGGTCATCTGATCAGCGGCTGGGGGTCAGGAGTAAGCAGTCTGATTGCCTGTTTTTGTTTGATCCTCAGACATTTCCACATAAAAGGGTTCACCTGTGATTGCAAGATTTTTGCTGTTATTTTTTCGTGGAGCAGTTTGCTTCAATAAAGAACATTGGGTACCTGGATTACTGATATGTAAATTTGATAGACCAGGAAAAGTGGGAATAAAAGCCTACAGGTCCACGTCCCAGTTGTCACCGATACCCCTTTCACCTCCCATAATATCACTCCATATCAGGACAAAAGCAGGAGTGTTTGCCTTTGACATATCTTCTCACACAGCAATGCTTCCAACATGACAAGCCAGTCAGCATCTGGAGGAAAGGAGAAGTCACCATTTTGGGTATTACCCTTCTTCAGGACTGGATGTGGGGGAACGGGGGCTGCAGATAAAGAGGGGGGTAGTGGGGAGCGGTGATAGGCGGACACCACTAGTAGGTATGACCTGGAGACGGAGGACTTGGAAAACGGGATATGGGATGCAGGATACAGGGTGGAAGGAGGTGTAGTCTAGGTAGCTATGGGAGTCTGTGGGTTTTTGTCAAACAGTCCCTCTTCAATACGTACACCGGTACTATTCCCCAACTCTTCCGCCGTTACGACGATGACTGCATCGGTGCTGTATCCTGCACCCAGGCTGAACTGCAGCAGTTCATCAACTTCGCTAACAACTTGCACCCTGCCCTCAAATTCACTTGGTCTATCTCCGACACCTCTCTCCCCTTGCTTGATCTCTCCGTTTCCATTTCTGGCGACAGTTTACGGACCGATATTTACTATAAATCCACAGGCTCCCATAGCTACCTGGGCTACAGCTCCTCCCACCCTATATCCTGCAAAAACTCCATCTTGCTTTCCCAGTTCCCCCGTCTCCATTGCATCGGCTCCGATGGGCAGATGTTCCACTCCCAAGCATCCCTGATGTCCGTCTTTTTCAAACAACACTCTTGTCCCCCTTCTGTCATCAAGATAGCCCTCCACCACGCCTCCTCCATTCCTTGCTATACAGCTCTAAACCAACCACCATCCCCCCCAAACATAATGAAAATAGGGTGCCCCTTGTCCTCACTTTCCACCCCACCAACCTCCACATTCAATGCATCATCCTCAAACGCTTCCGCCAACACCAATTAGATAACACCACCCAATACATCTTCCACTCCCCACCCCTCTTTGCCTTCCATAGGACCATTCCTTTCGCCACTCCTTAGTTCGGACCACACTCCCCACCAACCACTAACCATCCCTCGTTACCTTCCCCTGTAACCGTAAAAGATGTAACACCTGCCCACACACCACCTCACTCACCTCCACTCAGGAACCTAGACATCCCTTCCAGGTGAGACAGAGCTTCACCTGCATCTCCTCCAACCTAGTCTACTGCACCCAGTGCTCCCGACGTGTCTTCTCTATATTGGTGAGATCAAACATAGATGAGGTGACTGTTTCGCTGAGCATCTTAGCTTGGCCCATAATGGCCAGTCTAACGCCTGGTCACCGCCCATTTCAATCGCACACCACCCCAAATCTCCCTCCGACATGTCAGTCCTCAGCCTCCTCCAGTGTCGCAGCGACTCAGAAATTTGAAGAACAACACCTTATCTTCTGCCTGGGCACCTTACAGCCCACAGAACTCAACACTGAGTTCTCCAATTTCAAGTAACCTTCCCACGCATCTCCTGGCTCCTTTTCCAGCACCCTCTCCTCCCTTCCGTTCCACCTATTGACCCTTCCTTGCAGCTACAACCGGATTCATCCCTCCTATTGACCAACCAGGATGTACCTACTACCAGCGTCCACCTATCACCACCATTCTGCTACCCCCCTCACCCCCTCTCTTTATCTGCAGCTCCCCCTACCCCCACATCCAGTCCTGAAGAAGGGTAATTCCCGAAACATTGACTTCTCCTTGCCTTCAGATGCTGCCTGGTTTGCTGTGTTCTTCCAGCCTCCTGCTTGTCTACACTGGATTCCAGCAACTTCAGTTTTGTTGTCTCTAATAGAACATAGAACATAGAACATAGAACATTACAGCGCAGTACAGGCCCTTCAGCCCTCGATGTTGCGCCGACCTGTGAAACCAATCTGAAGCCCATCTAACCTAAACTATTCCATTATCATCCCTATGTTTATCCAATGACCATTTAAATGCCCTTAAAGTGGGCGAGTCTACTATTTTTGCAGGCAGGGCATTCCACGCCCTTACTACTCTCTGAGTAAAGAGAGCTTCCAACATGCCTTCCAACCAAAATGGAAACTTAGTTGCACTTCTTTCAATTTAGCATATTGCTGCTTAAGATGCAGTATCCTCTACACTGAAGAAACCAACCACAGAGTGAGCGACTGTCATGTGGAACACGTCTATTCAGGCTGCATCTAAGTGCAAAGTCAGCTTGTCATTTTAATTCTCCACCTTGCTATTACTTTGATTTTTCTGATCTTGGTCTCCTGCAGTGTTGCAATGAAGCTCAAGGGACAGATCTCGAACAAGCCTGGGCACTTTACAACCGTCAAGACTCAACATTAAGTTAACAATGTTCAATTGTAACCTCAGCCCCAAATTTTGTTTCCTTTTCTTTTATTGGTATCTTTTGGTGCTTTGGTTGGCAGCTTTCAGGATCCTGCCATTCACACCTCCTCTAGACACAATATTTGCTTCCTTATTTGTCCCCTTACCTCCCTTTGGCCTTGCACCATGGGAAATAATATTTTGAGGAAAGGTCACACAGCTGAAATACTAACTCCATTATTTTCTTGTAAAGTCTGTATCTTTTTCATTTTGATTCTGACTGCAATGGGAAAAGGGCTGTTTTTACAACAAAGGATTGTGAAACGGTATTGTAGTACTTTTTAAAAGCAAGTTACCTGACACTCATTGTAAAGTGCTGATGATACTGTTGTTTGTTCAAGCAGTGGGGGATGTCTAGTTGCAGACAAACTGAAGCCAAGGCCTGTATATGAATGGAGATTAAGCTGGAAATAGGTTAGCTGATTGCTCTAAGGAATGGTAGCCCGTTATCAATGTCAAAGCCTTTCTGCCAGCCAATGACTATGTGATTAGCTTCTAGGTTGTTAAACAGCTTGTGGGTGTGAACGATTAGTCAGAACCTATCAAACCTCCAGAAAGAAAAGAGCTGAGCTTTCTCTGCAGTTAAAATAAAGGCACAAAGCCTGAAGGAAGCCAGTTTCTTTCCTCTCATTACTTCCTGTAAGCTGTGGCTCTTAACAGATAAGTCAGATACTCCATAAATGTGAACCAGCTCCTTTGGGTCTGCTGGAAGCAAGTGAATATACCTGGAGGATGAAGATTGAGGAACAGCAAGTCCTGATAAGCAAAAGGATCATCTCAGTGAACCCTCAGAATAGGCACCATTGACCTACTTCCCCAGTCCTTATCTCCCCCATAACATAATTTTTTTCCATCTGCCCGTGTTTGTCTGTGTGTATGTATGTATGTATGTGGGAGGGTGGAATTAGAATTGTAATTCTTGTTTAAGTACAGAAACATGATTCATGCTTTCTGTCAACCTAGGTTGGAAAAGCCAGGTAAATTATGGAGTTTTGCATAGTTTTAGAACATTTTAAATGTCTGTGACAACTCCAGGAATTGCAGGTCTTCATTTCCAACTCAGTGAGGCATAACACTCTCCTCAGATGCTGCCAGACCTGCCCAGCATTTTCAGTTACTTCTATTTTAATATACGGCTTATGGTTTTCCATCCCTAACAAATTCAAACTAATCTTAAGTATCTAACTTAGCACAATATTTTGGTTTTCATTAAGAAATTGTAGTCATGATGCATTACAATTTTGGACAACTTTCCCATAATTATTGCCATGCACAAATATTCTGAGGGTCCTACTGATTGGCAGAATGAAGACAAACATAGATGTGCAGTCAGGAGATGCAAAACAATACTTTGCGTCCATTGCATTAAAGGTGGGTGGAGCAACTAAACAGAATACAAACAATTTTTGGCAGTGCCGACAACTTACCATTTCCAAAGGGCTGAACCCAATATCTAAGTAAGAATCTTTATGTACACTACAAGGGTGCTGTACAAGCCTTAGGCTCTTGTGGTGCAGTGATAGCATCCCCACCTTTGAGCCAGGAGATTCGGATTCAAGTTGTACCTTTTGCGTAATAACATCTCTGAACAGGTTGATTAGAAAATAGTTTCTAGCAGAGCCTCAAGACATCTGTTTTGCTACTGCATCAGGAGTCCCTTTGAGAATTGATAATCATGCGTTTGCTGCACTGTATACATATTGGTGTGATTCTCCACACTGTTCCCCTTTTCTTTATTTTGCACTTCATTCCCTTCTTCAGAGCAGGTTATCTGCTTTCATACATTCACAATTAAGTGACACAAGGAGAAAAATAGGCTGAATGGACTAATCTTCTTGATTTCAAATTTCTCTTCTTTTGCATCACCAGAAGTTTAACTGCAATCAGAAACCTGTTGCATGCAAAATCATGCAAAGTTGTGCTAATCACCCCTTGGTGCAATATTTTTCTGCAACAATAGTGTACAGTCATCGATGTGTGTTTTACACTTATGTTAGTACAGGTTACTTAGTTTTCTTCATAAAAGTTAACCTTTCCTGGGACAGAGACAAAAACCTAGTGATTCTAACAAACTCACTACTGAGTTAACAAGGCATAAATAGCCCTCATAGCATCAATTGGTACTTTATTTGTTTCAGTGTAACAACTGAGAATAATTGACATGAATGTTGGTGGATAGGAGGAAGTAAACTAAGGATCAAAAAACTAAATGTGAAGCAAACCTGAAGGAAAAGAATTAATTATTTTCCTTGTGATTAAAACTTTCAGCATCTCTATGAATTGTTAAATTCCACTGCTATTCAGCAACATTACTCAGAATGCAACGTAGAATCTATATGATCTATTGTTATGCACTCTTTTTTTCTTGAATTTTCTTTACGCATAAGACAGTTATGAATATTTTGATTAATTATACCCGTTTTTTACTCTCCCATACGTCAGTAATTACTGCCCATTCCTTGATATCCTTGAGATGGCCTTAGCCATCAGATGGTGTACAAACTATCCTGAAACAAATTAGTTTTGCTCAATGATTGAAGGGTTAATATTTAATTCTCTGATTATTAAATATCAAACTTTAAGTTTAAAAACTTATAAAAATCATGGCAGAAATATGTTTTTTGTAACAAACAATAAGCTCAATCAAAAAAAAACTGTCCAACAACAAGTTACCACTTGGAATATCCCTTTCAAACATCTTTTCCTTTTTTCTATTAATTTACTGATGCACTTTGTAGGAAAGAGCTTCATTTTTATCTCAGAAGAAATGGTTAATATAAGGGACATAGAACATAAACTTGCATTCTGATCTGTGTAACAGTGTGTTCCAGATTATTATATTATCTGTTTTCCAAAAACCCACAATTTTTGTTTTAGCACTCAAGTTTATGGAAAGTAAACTTACAATAAGTAGGATTTGGATTAAAAACTACTAGGCTAAATAGTTTCTTTATTGTTTTTATTTTCTTGTCATGATTCCTCCTTATTCTCCTAAAGGTGTTTATTGCTTAGTAGGATATGATCTCACAACTTTTTGTCGCTCATCCAAGTGTCAGTTTTTTTGCTCATGTTCCTTGGCACATTATTCACAAGTGTTGGTGTCATAGCCAGCCAGATGCACATACATAATGCACATGAGCATGCACAGTCTTCCAGCAAAGGCGCAAGATTAGTGATGAGAAGCTGGAAATTTGGTCAATGCTTCATCCTTAACACAAGAGCCCTGAGACTAACTGTATGGATCCTAGCATTAACCACAGACTGTGCTTCAACCAGTTGTATAATACCCTGGATAAATTCCACCATTCATGATATGCAATAAACCTAAAGCAGCAAGAAGGCCAAAATTTTCGAAAAAAATTAAAAACCTGTGCCTTCAGGTTTTCATAAACTCTTTGATCTTCAATGCATTCTTAGCTTGAATATATTAGATCAAAAGACTAATAAATTCAGTCGGTACCTTTAAAGGTCTGCACACTCCTTCAGTGATGTGTCCCACCACCTGCTGAATATTATCTTGCACACCTGTAATAATAAAGAATGTCTTACTTTAAAGTACAGCTTAACCTAGCTGTGACAAACCTTTTACTCATACTCAGATCTTCCATGACCTCAGCAAAAACCACAGTTCTGGCAAGGGAACAGCTTACACCTCTGTGAAATGAAGCTCTATAAAGAAAGTGGCAAAAAAAGGAATGCAGATTATTATTTGAATAGCTGTAAATTGAAAAAAGGGAATGTTCAACGAGACCTGGGTGTCCTCATGCACCAGTTGCTAAAATTAAGCACATATTTGCAGCAGGCAGTGAAGGCGGCCAACTGTATGTTGGCCTTCATATTGAGAATTCGTAGTACAGGAACAAGAATGCCTTGTTGCAATTATACAGGACAATGGTAAGGTCACACCTGGAATACTATGTGCACTTTTGGTCTCCTTATCTGAGGAACGATATTCTTACAAGAGAGGGAGTGCAGCGAAGGTTTACCATTTTGATTACTAAGTTGGTAGGACTGACATAAGAGAAGAAATTGAAGCAATTAGGATTGTGTTTACTGGAGTATAGAAGAATGAGGCAGGATTTAATAGAAACCTATAAAATTATAACAGGGATAGAGTGTTCAGATGCAGAAAGGATGTTCCCGATGGTGGGAAGAGTCCAGAACCAGGAGCCATAGATTAAGGGTAAGAGGAAAAATTTCTTTACTTGGAGAATGGTGAGCCTGTGGAATTTGCTGCCACTGAAAGTGGTCGAGGCTAAAACATTGTGTTTTCAAGAAGGAGGCAGATATAGCTCTTGTGGCTAAAGGGATCAAGGGATAGTGGGGAGGATGGGATTAGTGTATTGCACTTGATGATTAGCCATCGTCATAATGAAAGGTGGGGCAGGCTTGAGGGGCCAAATGGCCTACTCCCACTCCTATCTTCTATGTTTCTATGTAAGGGGAACTCTGCACTTATAGGTTTGTAATAGTGATACTGAATCTAACCCAGTGTTAACAGTGGTCAATGTTTAACTGCAAAACAATTATGCAGTCTACTAAGTAAAATTGAGACATAGAGAATCACTGAAACAAGAGATTGAGAATGAGACTGATGGAAGTGAAATATTTAAACGAACTCTTTGCAGTTATGGCTAAAACCAATGAATTGCTTTGAGGTGAAGACATACTTGCCCCATCTGTGATGTTACAAAAATGCCCTGCAAAGAATGTGTTTCTTATAATCCTCCTGGGTAGGTATTCCGAAGTACCAACGCTATGAACAGAAAGGGCCTACCACTTCTGCTAGATCTTCCCTGAAAGCAGATATGTCCAAACTTTCTGACTTTACAAGGTATCTGTCATTGCAGGCCACAGAGTTTAAATCAATTTTAAATTTGCTAAAATCTCAAGGTACAGACAAGTCTTCGTATTCTAATTTAGGACTCATCAAACAAGGGAACAACCAAACCAACATCAGCCCTTAACAAGCCCATAGAACAATGAAATTTCAATTGGGCAAAAGATTTCAAGATACCAGCAGAAACAGAACTGTTGTTTGGGCTGCACAAGTTAGTTTGTCCAGGCCGACTGGCTCCTGCTTCAAAAAAATCAAATGCAGAATGACCAATGTATAGACTGCCATCTAGTGTAACACATTTTGAATCAGCTGGAGTAAGGAAAAGGGAAGCCGCTCAGCTCAGTTCAGGAGGAACATTTGAACATGGTGGCGTTAGAAAAAGAACTAGTTGGAATACGTCTAGAAAAGGTCATTCAAATCACAGTGGATGACAGCTTAAGCTGAATTACCTATTTTAATTGCAATTTAGTTTAACTAGAATCTGTATTTGTTTGTTTGGTCAATAATTCAGAGCTATGTAATACTCTCTGAAATAAAGATACCAAAAAGGAATTTTAAGCAAGATTTTAATCAATAATTGACACAAACATTCACAAAGAATAAGTCTTTTATCTCACACTTGGATGCTATCTTGATGTAACCTATTACAAAAATGTTGACTTCTCGTTTTTCTACCTTTCTGGTGCTGTGACTACATCTCATTCTGATTTCTGCTGTGTCACTGACAAGCACAAATGTAGATAGTCAGAAAGAATGCACTGTGAGAGTTAAACTGAGTGAATCCCAGACAAAATGCCATCATAAATATGAATGTATTTTAAAATATATAATTTATCCTATGTTAAAAATGCTTTCCACCGGTTTCTGTAGGTCTATTTTACACCACATCATTTACCTGCTAATAGGTGGTTGGCGCGTTCCCCAGTTAAATACCAAGAAAACTAAATTTTTTCAATATTTCTTTTAATTGGAAAATTGCTGGTCTGTAAATATTAATTATATATTTAAGTGACTATAACAAACACTTCACTATAAATATCAAATCTGACATCTGTATAGAGTTCTACACAGCTAGTCATGGAAATTAGCCTTGAAGTGCCACTAAATTTTAGGGAGCCCAACTATGCAAACAGTTTCTTCAAAATCACAGAAGTTAGCAGTCCACTTAAAAGATTAAACAATTACCTTGCATAGTTACAAGCTTCAGCAAAACTTCAAGATGTTCTTTCTCTGAAGCAGCTGCCTGATGTAACCATGCTAACATATCCCCAACATACCTGAAAGCATAAGATTGACTCAAATCAGGTTTAGGAAAATACTAACAGCGTTTTTAAAATGCTTAAGTATCCGAAGACATACCTTAAAGGGTCATGTGAGTGCATTTCAATTGGCCGAGGAGTTCCACCAGGCCCACCTCTGGTGAGGGCATCTATAAAACCACGAACCACTGCACTCCTCCTGGCTGTGCCAAACTCATCAAGAATGTAGCTAGGGCAATAAATACATAGGTGTAATATGTAAAATGAAATATATCATCGAACAGTAGAAGGGAAAAATAAACTTGTGAAACAAATGTTCACTGTCAAACAGGAAATCTTATTTTCTCAAGCATTATTTCTTTAAATGAACTAATTAAGAGGACTTCTCTATGAAGTTTGAAATTCTTCCTTTGGATTTATGGAGTAACTATTCTGAGGAGGGGTCACTTGACCCAAAACATTGACTCTGAATTGTCTCCACAGACGCAGCCAGACCTGCTGAAATTTTCCAACGATTTCTGTTTTTATTTAAATTTATATCTTTTCACCCTCAACTTTTAACAAATGATAATAAATGGTCATCTGCAATTAGGCTATGAAAATAGGCTTGTAATTGATCAGGTGAGGTTACCTCACTGAGGATCTCAAAGACTCTCACTTGCTGATTTTAGGCATCTATTGGGTATAGATTCATATCTACAAATTAACACATTCTCACCCCCACCAATGAATTTGCAACCTCAGCCAAACCATGAAAGAGAAATGTCAAGAATGCAAATCAGTCAATCCCTACAAATTCTACCTACAACTTTGTGGCTATTTCCTGGAGTTCCAATATGCCACAACTTCCTGCTTGATGAGATGATTAGAAATCTATTGTTAAAAGTGGGGAAATACTTTGTATCAGAAAAAGCTGGAAACAAGGATCAGAATTTCTTTGGTATAGGTCTCTAGAACAAAGAAACAAAAATCAAACACAAATTTGTACAACTTAGACTTTCCAAGTCCAGATCTTTACAATTTAACTCGACATACATTTAAATGCCAATTTAGGCCAAAATAAATTGTCATTTTATTTTGCATAGATATAATAGGGTCACTAGCACCAACCTAAAAAGGCCTAAAGACTGCAATAAGCAACTGCCTTTGTGCAAACCTTTTTCCTGCAAGTGAAGTAATTGTTGTATAGTTCATTCGCAAGATTTAACATCAAAACACCACTGAATGATTAAAAATAGAGAAAATTATTCTAAACTGCAAGCAACGCAATGCTGCCAGCTCTTCTATTGAAATTATTATTTTGCGTCAGACCTTCAGTTACTATGTTAATTTAAATTCATCAACATATTGACATTCATTTGGCAGTGAACACTTCATAATTTATTTCAATACATCCATCCATTATGGTGGCTTTTAGTTATAATCAACTAAATTAGTTTTTCTTCTAATAGCCCCAGTTTTTGATGACTGCTGCAAAAGAACAAGTTACAATTAAAAATTTTGCAAAAGTCATTAGCAGAATTGCAGCCCATGAGATTAAATAGGCAACGGTAGTATGGAAACAGAACTGACTAAGGACAGAAAGCAGACAGCAATGGTGAATAGTTGTTATTAAAACTCAAGGGGAGTATGTTGCTAATCAGGCATTGGTATTATTGCCATATAAGACTTCAGGAGGACACAGACTGGTGAAACAGGCAGATAGATAGATTAAATTTAAACCAGAGAAATATGAAATTATGCTTTTTGAACAACAACAATATAAACTAAACAGTACAAAAGTTATAGGGATACAGGAACAGATACACACAGGGCTAAACATACATCAAATCTGTGAAAGTGGTGGGACAAACTTGAGAAAGCTATTAAAATATCATATGCAAACTCTAAATTTGTAAATAGCGGGAAAAAGTAAGAGGTAATGAGTGCAACTGGCAGAAGGGTTAGTAAACAGAGGACAGGCACTTAAAGTAATTAGGTTATCTAAGATCAGAGGACTAATGTCTATGGTGAGGGGTGTAAAGTCAAGTGGATGTCACAGCATGCCCATTATCACTATTACAGTATTAGGGTGATGGTGGACAGTTCAAGAATGACCAAGGGAAAGCACGCGGTCAGAGTATCAAGGTGATGGGCTCAAACCTGAAGCTGGTGGAGGATGGACAGTGACTGGTTTGTTGTTATGTCACTGGTGATAGCTCCAACCTTGTGATTCAGCTGGCAGGAGTCCAGCTCAAGTCGATAGAGGCCACAACAGTATTGGACATAGGGAAAGGAATGAAAGCAGTTTTGGACATGACTTATGAAGCATTTCTAAATGTTTATGCTTTTATTTTAGCATTTATATCATTTTGCCTTCACATAGTCAACTCAAAAATCACACAACACCAGGTTATAGTCCAACATGTTTACTTGAAGACACAAGCTTTCAGAGTCTCGCTCCTTCTTCAGGTGTCAATGAGACAAGTAGCATCAGACACAGAATTATAAGCAAAAGATCAAAGGGTCATAGAACTGACACGAATGTATTGAACAAACCTAAGATGGCTGTTAAATCTTTAATCGGTTAGGTAGGATTAATATGCAAATTCCAGAATTTCTTTCAAGTCACTGAGATAACTAAAGGTTTTATTAGTATATCAGAGTTGACATCTCAGGTTAGACCATGCGTTTTAGATGAGAGGCCTTGTTTAGAATCTGGCTGTGAGACTGGTTTTATTTCCAAAGTAGGAACTTATAAAATGCCACATTGACTGTGTACAAATTTTTGACCTTGTCTACCACAGTCCAACACCAGCACCTCCACACCACAGTCAACTCAGTGTTGTCTTCACACAGTTAACTCAGTGAATTTGCTCTGGCTCTCAATATTCTTGCAACCTGTAGAACAGCAGGATAGAATATGACAAAGGAGGGTTGTTGCCAACTAACAACAGAGCTTGGAAGACCCAAAGCAGGCAACACCGGAGGGGGAGGTGCTGGGCATATAGGGCATGTAATTGCATGTGAACTGGCTAATGACACACTATGGAAACAGAACCCACTTCTAGTTCTGCCGTTGGGACTTGGATTCCTCTTGGTTACTCTTTGGGCAGAATTTAATGTGAAAATCATTGTTATACAGAGGTAAATTTATATTTTATTTGTTTAAAAAAAATCACACGGCACCAGGTTATAGTCCAACAGGTTTAGGTTGCAGTGCATTCCATGATTTGTACATCTACACAGAAATGCATTTTTACTGTGAATGCTATCTGGATTTAAGAGAACTCAGTACTTATCTATCCTGCATAATGCACATAACTTCCATTGATGCATATTAATCCAGGTATTGTTGCAAACTCCTTCCAAAGATACTTCAAACATGCTCTTTGTTAGAATCAAATAAAATATTTATTTCTCTACAGGAATAACTGGTTAAAACTTTGAAAAATCACCGTAACCATGTTAAGTTTTTGTCTTTAATGAAGTTGGCTGATTCAATACACCGTTAACAAGACAATAAAAAGCAGTATATCAGATTTAGTCGAATCATAGTTTTTTATTCTTGTGTCATATTTGTCAATTAGCTTAAGCTGTGTCCAGAGCTACTACAAGCCATACTACACTAGTCTAAAGAGATTTCTTGCACCAGAATGACTATGTAGCATGCAGGTGTATGTAAATATGAGTATTATAAGAATTGGCTTCATAGTGTTACACCTCTAGCTGCAATCAAAATTCATGCCAACGACCTCATCCCAAAAAATTATCCCTATGTTCAAACCCTTGCTCCAGATAGGGCTTAAACTACAAATAAGTTGTATGAGACGCAAACGTTAAGGAGTGGCAGAAAGTCAACACAGTGGATTTCTCTCAATTTAAGAATGTATAACTACATTCCTTTCAGTCCAAAAATAATGATTGATGTGAAAATTCACAAAATCTACTGACAACGCTAAACCTGGGCCAACTTCCATCGCACATAGTTTATATACGTGATTTCTTCCATTCGCTGTGGAGTCTGCACATGCCCACTCCACATGAAATACAGGAACAGGGTGCAGACAGTTGCCCAAAATTCATCATAAACTGTGTAACAATAATCAATACACTGGACCAAGCCTTCAAATTAAGTGGCAGGACCAAAATTTCAGCAAGACACTGAAGTTTAGATGATTTGCCCTGATTCTACTCTGCATAAGTCTTATAATAGAATGGGAGGATCAGTCCTGTTTCAAATCATAATCGCCAATTTAAAAAAATTTTTTTTTTAAAACACCTTTAAAATGTTTCTAATCATTTTTGTTTAAATTGAAAAGTCAATCTTATAGTGAGGGACTGAATTCATAGGGAGGTTTGACTAAGTAGAATGGCAGAGTTCCTTTTCTGCAAATCGTTTGTAACCTCTTGAGGTTTTTTATAATATTCTGAAAGCTTTCATGATTTTTTCTTTGATGACTGTCACAGCTTACCATATTTATCGTATTAAATTCCACAATTATCCGAAGGTGGATTTCATCTCTCAACTGCAGAGCTGCTCTTCCAGTATACAAACCAGGACGTTTACTCACCCCAATGTACACTGTGTGATCTCTAATAACTGCTGTCAGTTTATTTAATTCTGCAGGGCATCATAGCTGAGAGCAACCTTGTTCGTCCTGTACAATATCCAATGGGATCTGAATAACAAGAACCAGTCTCTGGTTTTCTCACTCCTGCCTAAAAGGAACAAAGGCTAATTGCAGGAACCTTTCATGGCCCTGTTGAGGTCAGTTTTTGTTTTATTCATTCACAGGATGAGAGTATCAGTGGCCAGCATTTATTGTCCGTCCTTAATCGCCCAGAGGGCAGTTAAGAGTCAACCACATTGCAGAGGGTCCAGAGTCTTACTTAGAACAGACCTGGTAAGGCCAGTAGTTAATTTAGTGTAAGGCTGTAAATCTCTTTAGATAGAGCTCTGCAAACTGAGCATAGGAACTAATTATACATGCAAATTGAACTAATAGGATATCTGCAAAAATATTCAAAACTAATGACATTCCAAAGCTCTGTTTTGTGGCATAGGCTGGATGGACCAGAGAGACCATTCTTACCCTTCATTGTTTGTTGGCTATCCACAAAGATAGCCATTCTCCATGATGGATAGTTGGGATTAGTGTGGTTGCATGCTCCTGATTACCTGAAGCCTGATCTTAATTTACCTTCAGGGCAGGGTGCATGATCAGAATGAATAAATCCAACATCATTACATGTGGGTGAATAAAATGCCCCAGAGAACATGGAAAACTAATATTTAGAAAAACTGATCAAAGTTAATTACAATTTATGGCTTTCAACATACGACAAATGCAAGTTTTTTTTTTGCACTGCATTTTATACCTGCCTGCAAGAAAATAACATTTATAATTTGTATTTTAAATGTTATTTTATGAAATAGATTGCTTCAATATGTGATTTCTCTCTCTTCTACATCACCCATAACAGGAACACTAGACAGAGTAACACAAACCTTAGGAGATTATGAAATGTGTTGCACACAATTTGACACTTTCGTCATTGCAAAGGTGAGCAATTTCTCTGGAAAGGACACTAGATAGATGCAGATGCTCCAGTTTCAAAGCTCAAAATTAAGTCATTTTCATATTTGTTAAGAACAACCTTTCCTTTGGATATAAAACAGTCTTCATACAAGAAGACGCAAGACTAGAGAATTAACCTGCAGCTCTCCGTTTCATACTTCTTGGTTTGGAAATCCATACTATAAAAATACTTGAGAACTAGTCGACAAAAGTTCAATCCAAAATTTGAATGTACCCAAAAAAACACTGGATTCAAGAGAAAAAACAAAGGTGGGAAAGAAAAAATGTCAGAGAAACTCAGCAAGTCTGGCAGCATCTGTGGAGACAGTTAAAGTTTTGAGTCTGATATGATTCTTCTTCAGAAACAGCATTAGGAAGAGAAGAGTTGAGATGGAAAGAGAAACAAATACGCCACCTAGCTCATGCTTAGATAGTGGATCAAAAATAGGATTATTTGAAATTGTATTGCTCAAGGCAAGGTGTGAGCCTTACAGTGCACTCACCATAGAAGCAGCTAACGATTAAATTGAGTTCAAAGAAATGGTGTCAGACAATAATGGTAAATTTGCTCAGCATTTCAGAAGATTTTCCAAGAAGTAACATAGTGAAGTTAAACTAGGTTAATTACATAAAGTTGTACTAACTTGTAGAGCACAAGTCTGTCTTGCAGGGCCTCCATAGCTTGAGTCTGTGCTGGAGAAATATCACAAGATTCTTGAGTCAGGGTTCGACATTCAGCTGTAATGAATAACACAAAATATCAAAATTGTTTCATATTTTTAATGTCTGAGTTTTGATTTTCAGTGTATTACTGAGTGTTACATGCTGATTACAGCACAATGTTCTGCCCAGCCTTTGGCCTGTGTATTTATCACAAAAGACTAGCATACAAGTTCAGCAGGTAATAGGGAAGACAAATGGAACACTGGCCTTTATTTCAAAAAGAATAGCGTATAAAAATAGGGAAGTCTTGTTAAAACTACAGAAGACACTAGTCAGACCACAGCTGGAATATCGTGAATAGTTTTGAGCCCCTTATCTAAGGAAGGATAAACTGGCATCGGAAGCACTCCAGAGAAGGTTTACTGGGCTGATACCAGGTACGGCAGTACTGTCTTATGAGGAAAGAATGAGTAGTTTGGACCTGTATTCATTGGAATGTAGAAGAATGTCCCACCAGATGTCCAAACACATTTGACCATTGCTACACAACCAAAGATGTCAACCACTCCACTGCCCACCCACATTTTGGAAAATCAGACCATAACATTATGCTCCTTCTCCCAGCTTACGAGCAGAAACTGAAGATCTGGTACAATGCTAATCTAAGGTAATGAATGAGCTCTTATGTGATTGTTTAGAGTCAGTGGACTCATCCATATTCAAAACATCAGTGGCCAACCTAAAGGAGTCTGCCACTACCGTTACAGACTTCATTAGTAAGTGTGTAGAGGACTGCGTGCCAAAGAAGTTAATCCGGGTGTTCCTCAACTGGAAGCCATGGATGGACCAGGAGATCCACTCTCTACTGAAGTCGAGGTCTGAGACGTTCAAGTCAAGAGACCCTGACTTATTTAGGAAATCTAGGTACGACCTTCGCAAAGCCATCAGAGACGCCAAGAGGCAATACCAGACTAACCACATGAACACCTGTCAATTATGGCAAGGCTTACATGATATAATGGATTACAAAGTGAAGTGGAGTAGAATTGTCAGCAACAAAACATCCCTCCCCGATGTGTCAAAGCATTCTACTCTCGTTTTGAACAGAAGGTCAGTGAAGCAACGTTCCCTGGCAGCCTCGAGTGCACCTGTATCCACAATCACCATCACAGACATCAGATCAGCGTTCTTGAGAGGAAACCCAAAGTGATCGGCCGGATGGAGACCCTGACTGTGCACTCAAATCCTGCACAGACGAGCGGTGGGAATATGTGTGGATATCTTTAACCTCTCCTTACGACAATCTGGAGTGCCCACCTGCTTCAAGAAGACCACTACCATCTTGGTGCAAAAGGAAAATCAAGCAGCATGCCTAATGACTACCACCTAGTTGCTCTGACATCTCTCATTATCAAGTGCTTCGAGACGTTAGTCATGGCACACATCAACTCCAGCCTCCCAGACTGCCTTGATCTTCTACAACTTGCCTACTGTCGCAACAGGTCCACAGTATTCACCATCTCCCTAGCCCTACACTCATCCTTGGAACATCTGGATAACAAGGATACCTATGTCAGACTCCTACTTATTGACTTGAGCTCTGCCTTCAGAACCACAATTCCAACCAAACATGTCTCCAAACTCTGGACTCTGCTCCCCACTCTGCAATAGGATCCTCAACTTCCTGACCCACAGACTGCAATCAGTAAGGATAGGAGACAACACCTCCTCCAGGATAATCAAGACTGGCGCTCCATAAGGCTGTGTACTCAGCCCCTTACTGTATTCTTTATACACTCACGACTGTGGCCAAATCCAGCTCGAACACCATTTACAAGTTTGCTGATATCACTACCGCAATAGGTCAGATCTCAAACAATGATAAGACACAGTACAGGAAAGAGATAGAGAGTTTAGTGGCAATCAATCTCTCCCTCAATGTCAGCAAAACAAAGGAGCTGGTCGTTGACTTCGGGAAGCAGAGTGGAGGACACATCTCTGTCTGCATCAATGGTGCTGAGATGGAGGTGGTCAAATTCCTTAGAATAAGTGTCACCAACAATCTATCCTGGTCCATCCATGTCAACACTTCCGTTAAAAAAGCATACCAACACCTTTAGTTCCTCAGAAGGCTAAGGAAATTTAGCATGTCCAAAATGAGTCTTACCAATTTTTAATAGATGGACCATAGAAAGCATGCTATTTGGATGCATCACACTTGGTATAGCAACTGCTCTGCCCAAAATCACAAAAATTACAGAGTTGTGAACACAGCCCAGTCCATCACACAAACCAGCAGGAAAGTAGAGTTGAGCATTACCACATCAGCCATGATCTCATTGAATGGCACAGCAGACTTGTTAGTCTGAACAACCTACTGCTGTTACCTCTTATAGTCTTAACAGAGCTGGTATTTTTGCTCCCCTCATCCAGCCTAAGCCCCATCAACATGCCTTTATGACTTTCTCCCTCATATGTTTATCCAACTTACTCTTAAAAGTATCTGCATTACTTGACTCAATTGATCAATGAGGCAGCAAATTCCGCATTGTAACTACTCCCTAGGTAAAGAAGATTCTATTAATTGCTCCATGTGATTTATCTGAGACTACCACAAATTTATGACTCAGTTCTGTCCTGCATGTAACTGTTCCAGCTGAGACTAGCTACTCAGAACAGAACAGGGATGAAACCTAAGAACTTACTATTTAATTCTGGGAAGTTCCTATATCTTCTAAAGCACTGGGAAATTTCATATAAACATGTTGAAAAATGAAGAATTTCTTGATAGAACCTCTTTGTCATTTTTGTCTCAGAATGAACTTAAACCTCTGGTTTAATCCCTTTTGCAATGGTATCTCCTCACAAGATGTGGCAGGCAGGTTCACCACACCTCTTTGATTCTAAAGCAAATAAAACCTGGGATAGAGAAGATGATTTTCATCAGTCCACTGATCTGTATTCTTTCGTACTGTTATGGTTTCAGAAAAAAGGATTGCATCTTCTGCAACTTAACCTATAATTGGAAGACAAAAGCTTTGTAGAGCATTAAAATTACAAATAATTAGTGGAACTAAGCTTTTTTAAAGATGTTCTGTTTATCAGCATTGATCAGTGGAAGTGGTGGCAGTGGTAGCAGTGGTAATATCACTGGCCCTCAGGTTGATGTTCTGGAGACATGGGTCCAAATTCCACCATAGCAGATGGTGAAACTTAAATTGAATAAAATTCTGTAATTAAAAGCTAACCTATGGAAGCCACTGTCAATTGTCGCAAACACACATCTTGTTCAGTAATGCCCTAGGGAGGGAAATCTGTCATCCTTACTTGGTCTGGCCTAAATGTGACTCTAGCCCCAGAGCAATATGGTTGATACTTACTGCTCTTTGAAATGGCCCAACAAGCCAGTGAAAGGGCAATTAGGGATAGGCAATAAATATTGGCCCAGCCAGCAATGCCCACATTCCATGAATGAATAAAGCAAAAGTTTGTCTGGCCATCTTTGCTGTTTACTTCTTTCAACACCTGTCACATTGAACAACCAAGTCAAGAGTTATATGTTTAAATGGAGACTGAAGAATGTGTGCATCGTTAGGAATACAGGTACATGGTTAATAACTTACACTGATGTGTTATTGCCTTCAGTTTCTGAGTACTGGGTGCATCACTTGTGTATTCCTCATCCAATTGATAACCTCAGAGATGAATTTACCCAAGGATATTTTTCAAAATCCCAAAGTTGCCAACAGCAATTCTGAAGCTGTAATGGTAATTTCACTGGATCGGTAACCCAGAGTTGCAGGCTAATGTTCTTAGGATATGGGCTCAAAGCTCACCATGGGAGTTGGTGGAATTTAAATTCATTTAAAATATCTGGAAGATAAAGCTAGTTTCAGTAATAAAGACCATAACAACGATAATTGATTGCCACAATAACCTATCTGGTGCACTAACGTCCTCTGGGGAAGGAAATCTGCCATACTTACAACTCTGGCCGACATGCTGCTCCAGACCCACAGCAGCGTGGGTGACTGCTAACTGACCTCAGAAATGGTGTAGCAAGCCACTCAAGTCAAGGGCAGTTAAGGTTTGGCAAAAAAAGGCTGGCCTTGTCAGGGACGCTCACATCCCATAGAAGAATGAAAGAATTCTGCTCCAAGCTTTAGTGCGTCCCTCAGCACAGAGTCTTGGACCTTGGAATGTGCCAGTCTGCAACACTCGGTCGGGGTCAACTCTTTGTTCTGGAAGACCAACAAGCTTCAGGTGGTCCATAGAAGGGTATGTCTTTCTCCCAACAGAATGCATGCAAGCACTTAGTACTGCAACACGAACTAATTCTTCTGTCAGTCAGACAGGGCCCTGCAACATCACATCAAGGTGGCTGCACCAAGGCTGAAGTTGTCTCGCCCTCGAATCAACAATTACAATCTCCTCAGCATTTCATTCCTCATCAAAGTGGCTTTCTGCCCCACCCGAGTCCAACTGCTGCTTGGACACATCGGTCTGAGCAAAACATTGGCAGAGTTTGGGCAGTGGGCCGACGGAGGCAAGGTTTTCCTGCAGATCCCAGAGCATCAGGAAATGGCTGCTCAAATCCACTGTAAAACAACCGAGAGTGTGGGGCTGCACCACGGGAGGGGAATTAGCTCAAATGGGAGAGCGCTCGCTTTGGTATGTCCTCAGACAGCTGCTGAATAACCCAATTAAGTGGAGAAGATGCCTGATTTATTCAGGAAGAAAGTATAACAGCACATTGTAACACTGGACAGAATCTTCCCAGCCATTGGGCAAGGTTTGCATTGGCAAGTCGGGTGTGTCGCATGAGATCAGGCAGTAAGGAGATCCCCGATGTTGACAGCACAAAGTTTAATTTTCCAACCAAGCATTGAAAGTCAAGACAAGACTGTCACCACCGAGCAGCAAAGGGCCTATTTGCCTGCATCAACACCTGTATTATTATTATCATCATCATCATCATCATCATGATCATCATCCCATCTCAGCTCATTGATACAGGTAGATCTCCTATAATGCGATAGTTGCATTCTTGATTGACTTTGCGCTATAGAAAATCACCATTGAAAATGACGTTATACAGAAATTGCCATAGAAAATCACTATACCTGTACAGCAGAAAGTTGATGTTATCCGAACAGCATCCACTATTCATCAATCGCATTACAGCCAATTCGCATTAACGAAACACACATTATAGCAGAACTACCTGTATACAGTTTGCCATTCTCTCCCTGCCAGGTAGAAACTAGCAAATTCTTGGTGTGTACGTCAGAGGCGATAGCTGATGATTCCAGGTCTCTGCTTGCTTGTCCAGCTTTCTAGATTCAACAGCAGACACCTACATCTCAGGCAATGCTCCATGGTCAGTGATTGCATTCACCTCCAACCATCACCACCCCCAGGTCCTTGTTGGCAAAGCTGGGTGCCATTTTCTAGCTGTCCAACATATCTGGGGCAATTGACAGGAAATGTGTATGGCAGCTGCAGACTTGACTGGGTGTCTGGGCTTTAAAGATGGCACTGGTATCAGGAATTCTGGAGGGTGCCAAGCAGCATTGCACTTGTATTTTCAACAGCATTAGAATAATTCTCTATTATCTCTAGTGCTATTGAGCCATGCAGATTATAAATGATCCAGCTTTAGCTTTACACTTGTAATGAATTAGCTAATCCCAAATGGGGTGGCAGCTGATGTCTACAATTGACTCTACTTGTGTAAGTGAAGAGATTAAAGTCAGCAGAGCTCTTGTTTACAGCTGAGATAATTCAGGATGACAGAATCATTCACTGTTTTATCTATGACGAAAAAATTAATGATGTCTGAGGCTGCTTCCATGCATGAAATGTATGCCCCAAGCATAAGTCACCATTTTCAAGAAAGGAGGGAAAATTTAAGTCATAGACCAGAGAACACCTAAAGTCCATCAAATCAATCCATGACTGACAACATACTTTGCAGAACATCTGTTGTATGAATTGGCCTCAACAAAGTATTCCTTCATCAAAATCTTTTTACAGTGGGATCCCTGTAGGAGCTCAATGAAATTAATGTTACTAAAAAATTTGAACATCTAGTCTAAGGCAAACATGCCTCACAATGAGTTTGTGCTCACAAGTTACATACATTGAGAATAATCAACAGAAATGGTTCATTTCAACTCATGGAAATTTGATCACTGAGTCTTGATTTAATTGCTAAGGTCAGCAGCCTAAAGCACAAGAGGTCAGTGCGAATTATAAGCAGCTGAAATAATTTGACAATGGTAAAGTTGTATCTACAGTATAATGATAAGCACAAAAAAAAATTCTCATTTCAAAGAAAAACAAAATTATTTATTATGAATCACTACATATAGCAATTTTCAATTAATTTTCTTGCCAAACATGACTGAGAATCTTCAAATGATTGACTTCAGCATACATGACACATTCTGCTTAATTCATATAAAACTTCTGCAGTTCGTTCTATCAGAACTTTATTGGATAAGAGACATACCTTGCGCCCATCTGTAAAGTTTTTCATATGATGTCTCTTGGAGGAGTGCCATTTGTTCCATAATTTCCAGTCTTTAAAACAGAGAATGTAATGTATCATTCTGAAGCCCTTGACGTTATGTTGCATTTATTTTTCTGATTATTGCACACCAGCAGTACAATGCAGTTTTACGTGACAAAATTCGATATTTACATGCAACACGTTCATAGCTTTGGAAACTGATCAGGTCAAATTTAGAAAGGATGATGTATTCTGCTTGATTAATTAACAGGCTGCATTCATGGGGTGCCTAATGCAAAATGCAATTATTCAAAGCAACCTTCCAGGGACACATATGAAACTCTCAAGCAAACAGCCATTTTTGATTGACACAGCCTCTCAGTATAAATAGATTTAATGCAGGTGGAATTTATATGTAAATTCTAAGCATAAATTTTTGGAAATTTTAATGGTCAAATGTGATTCGTTAGTCAAAAACCTTTAATTTGATCTCTATTTTGAACAAAGTTACTGAAAAGTCAACCCACAGTAATTGATAATTTCATTAAATATTTGGTTAATTTTATTAATATTTTAACGGCATAGAGCAGAAAATTTATGATGATTAAGTGGACGATATGCAATGGTAGGTTTCATAGTTCAGTTACCTGTATGAGATAAATTAACTTATTTTAGCAATAACCTTAATATTCTGCATTACAGATTTTAAAATTGGTCAGGATTTCTGATCTCAATGTTGTAATCCTTGGACTTTAGCCTGAACAGCATCAGGCTTGCTGTAAATTTGCTCTAAATGGCCTCAGTTAACCAGTGGAATGAGAAAGGAGGCATAAGCCAAACAAATGGGACAGGCTACGGCAGAAGGCTCAGATTCCATTTTCTATACAAATAAGTGTGACCAACTTGATTGAATTTTTTGAACAGGTCAATGGTTGTGTAAATGAAGGCAATGCTTTTAATGTAGTCTACTTGGACTTCAGCAAGGCTTTTGATATGGTCCAATATGGGAGACTGATAGCAAAGGTAAGAGCCAATGGGATCCAAGAAAATTTGGTAAACTGGATTCACAATTGGCTGAAAGGCAAGAAGCAGAGGGTGACTGTTGAGGGGTATTTTCCTAACTGGAAGTCTGTGTCTGGTGGGGGTTCCACAGAGGTCAGCTTTGGGACCCTTGCTGTTGTGGTTTATATAAACAATTTGAACTTGAATGTAGGAGAGTTGATTGGTAAGTCTGCAGATGATACAAAAATGGACACGACAGTAAATAGTAAGGAGGATAGGCCTAGACAACAAGTGGATATGGATGGGTTAGCCGGATGGGTTAGCCAGATGGGTGATCAGTGGCAAATGGAATTCAATTTGGATAAATGCGAGGCGATACACTTGGGCTGGCCAAACAAGGCGAAGGAATACATGATGAATGATAGGGCCGTGAGAAGCACTGAAGATCAGAGAGACCTTGATGTACATGTACACCGGTCCCTTCACCCCTTTATCCACCTGTCCTGATATTTAAGAAGGCATATGGTAAACTTGCCTTTATTAGTTAAGGCATAGAGTTTAAGAGTAGCGAGATAATGCTGTAGGCACACATAGAACATTGCGTGCAGTTCTGGAATCCACATTATAGGAGGGATGTGATAGCACTTGAAAGGAGATTTACTGGGAAGTTACCTGGGCTGAAGAATTTCAGTAATGGAAAGAGATTGGACAGACTGAGGTTGATTTCCCTAGATCAGAGATTGAGATGGGACATGATTGAGATGTAAAAAATTCTGAAATGCATAGATAGGGTAGACAGGAATAAACATCTAACCTTAAGGGAACAATCAATGGCTGGGGGCATAGATTTAAAGGTAAAGGGCAGGAGGTTTAGAGGAAATGTGAGGAAAAACGTTTTCATTCAGAGGGTGGTAGGAATCTGCAACTTATTTTTGTAAGGGTGGTAGAGGCAGAAACCCTCATAACATTTAAGAAACATTTAGATGTGCATTGCAATACCACAGCATACAAGGCTATGGACTTCGGGTTGGAAAATGGGATTAAAATAGTTAGGTGGTTGTTTTGACCAGCACTGATATGATGGGCTGAAGGACCATTTTCTATACTGTAGATCTCTATGACTCTATAACTGCATTTTATTTATTGTGCTTTCTTCTTTTGGCCTCAACCCATGATACCAATTTAAAACTTGTTCAAGAAATACTTTTCTACCTAGCCTCATCTCCACCAGCTTTATACTCTGAATTTGCTTTCCCACAAGCATCTTGGTGTTGAAATTTCCTGCTAATTGTTACCTCACAGGAAATCGATAACGTTTCCTTCCTGTTTTAGTTCAGATTTTGACTCTTATTTCAGCTCCAATCAGACTGCACTGTTACTCAGCTCCATGGTCACACAGTTCCATTCTTTTGTCACTCACCTCTTCCGCTCACCATCTGTGTGTCTGTTTCATTCCTAAATATTCTGCTCAAAAGCCATACCCCAAGTTACAATTAAACAATGTTATCAAAGGAGAATAGCTCGCAATTTTTTCCTTTGTTTCCTCTATGCAACATATACTTTGCTACACAAGTTACAGAGGCTGGAAATTAGAGCATTTCTGTGCAGGGACATGAAAAATACTCCTTACCCTGCAGTTTGCTGGTTTGTTCGTAATAGAATCTTGACATCATTGTGAATCTGCTTCACTTTTCCAAGTGCTTTAAAAAAGTCCTAAAAGCATACGAAAGATTATGAGGCACAATTCTGTAAGTGTAACATAATGCTTCTTCTACATAATAGGAATTGCGAATGTACGGATTACCTCTGTAATTGGTCCTTCTCTTGGGCCTCGAAGGATATTCAGTTCATCTGCAGTTAGCTGAAACTTAGACAAGAAAGCATTTGCTACCTCAGCTCGGATTTCTAATCGTTGACTGTAATGAAAAGAAAACAGTATACACATGAAATCACAAGCTGTGACTCTCTACTGCTCAACTTCCAGCCAAACAGCTTACTGGAAAAACTCAAACACCATATGAATTTGATCACATTAGGCATGATTTGCTGCAAACTTGGTTAACAATGTACCCAACATAGTTGAGAAGGTGGTAATGGAGAAAACTGTGCAGAGATCAGAGTTAGCGTTTCAGGTCTAGTGACCCTTCTTCAGAACTGATAGTAACTAATGATAGTAAATCTGGCTGCAAAACAAACTGAGGGGCAGAACAACCTACTCTGCTCCCAATTTGTTTTCCATGCAGATTTTGCGCTTCACCTTAGAGAGACAGTTATATGTCTTGGGCAGACAGATAAACTGAACGGACGGGGATTTTCACACTGCTATTCATCCTCTAAAGTCTGCATACCTGCAGATCAGTGGAAGGGAAAAGGCTGTAAGAATGGCAGTGGTGCAGTGGGAGCATTATGCTTGTGTTTGATCTCCGTACATGTTTTTTCTGCCATGCCCCTAAACCAGAATCCACCATGGTGCCAGTAAATCAGCTAGGCTAGACTGCCCCAAGAACAGCCAAGGTGCAACAATCTACAGCTAGGTTCTCATATACTTGGCAACAATTAGGCCATTGGCTCTTGGCATCTTGAGGAACGCCACATGAGGTTAGCAGCTTTAAACCACCTTTGCTGAGACCATTGAAGTAGAACCCTGGAGGAGTAACACAGTTGGAACATTTTCTTTTTAAAACAAAATATCATGGACAAGAAATTAAGGAAGTCTGCTATTATGTTCGTGATTACATTTAGCACTACAGCACCATTCATGGACTTAGGATGTTATAAAGGTCTTTACCGTCAATGTTGCACTTTCAAATGAATCACTGCAGTAATGCAAGATCAATACGGGTAGGAACAAGTAATTTTTGCCTTTTAGCTTCATAACACAACTTTGTGACTAGATAGTACTGCAAAGAATCCAAAAGGTGGCAGCAATGATCAGCACATCTCCAATCTTAGCCCCTAAACAAAATGTAGCTGTTTGATCAATAGAAGAAATTAAAAATTACTGCAGAGCAGGATGCAATTTGAGGAATATCTTAATACAGTTCTATTTTTGTTCCTGAGCATCATATTTTCTCCTTCTTCGATGTCTCTAACATTTGTCCTCCACTACCCTGCTCCCCGTACAAAGTACCTAATTCAATTCTGATGTGCTTCTAAACCGCGAGTAACTCTGCTGGTTATTTGACTGTGCAGCTTAACAACCAAGCATAATTTTGTCCTCAAGTTACATTTTCATATATAGTAGGAACTGCAGATGCTGGAGAATCTGAGATAACAAGGTGCAGGGCTGGATGAACACAGCAGGCCAAGCAGCATCATAGGAGCAGAAAGGCTGACGTTTCGGTCCTAGACCCTTCTTCAGAAATGGGGGAGGGGAAGGGGGTTCTGAAATAAATAGGGAGGGAGGGGGAGGCAGATAGAAGATGGATAGAGGCCTGCTGTGTTCATTCAGCTCTACACCTTGTTATCTTATACTTTCATATACATCTTTCAGCAGGAGATACTGAATAGCCCTTATCTCTGGAGTTAGTAGAGTTTCTGGATAGTGGAGAGCTGCCCCATATACTACAATCAATGTTTTCCTTGGCTAGTTGGTGGATTGCCATCCTGATGAGGTGTGTCTTTTTTTTTGTGAGAGATTCTACCTTGTTCTATTAGCATAGGAGAAAATGCTTAGCAGGAACAAAAGAAGGGAGGAAGGAATAGGAATCGTGACAACTCCTTCCCCATAAAATTAGATGTGAATGCCAACATTACACTGTTCCAATGGGTCAAGAGCTAAACTTGCGGATTTTCTGCACAGTGTCACATTAAATTGTGTATTTAGCCACAGGTTACCAGGGGATCTTCAGCTTCCACTTTCATTATTCTTTCAGTATGGTAATCCACCAACTAGCCAAAGGAAATTTGACCGTAATATATGGGACATCTCTCCACTATCCAGAAACTAGTAATTCCAGAAATAAGGGCTAAGTCAGTTTATTTGCACTCCACCCCCCCCCCCACATAAAGTGCAGGGAACCTGGCATTATGATACATACCTTCCACAGGATGCATAGAGACTTTATAAATGTGGGAGTATCTGTTCCTTAAAATTTTAACTGTCAAACACAAAGTGACTTCATAAAGCATTTGTGGTTGTACAGATGAACATACAATTACTTCACAAAATATGTGAGCACATATCTGTGCATCAACTTTTAAAATATAGGTGGGAATGGACCCATGTTAGCTTCATGAAACATAAACAGGTATTCCTGAGAATCCAATGAAAATGTTAAGAATCAGCTCCAAGTCAATGTTGAACATTACAATTTTAATACAGAATCTCCAAATATACTGTCAAGACCTCACTGCAGATTAAAAATGTTGACACGCATATCAGAATTTACAATTAATAGTTACAATATTCCTTAAATCTACAAGGCAAGTATGACAGAATGATTGCTAAATTATTGTTTGTCTTTCCAGAACTCTTGGTTAATTCTGGGTGCCAAACAATGCTACACTGAAGGGTAAAACAGTTTTACATAGAGTCACAGAGTCATACAGCATGGAAACAGACCCTTCAGTCCCATCAATCCATGCTGAACATAATCCCAAACTAAACTAGTCCCACCTGCCTGCTCCTGACCCATATCCCTCCAAACCTTTCTTATTCATGTACTAACCTAAGCGTCTTTTAAACATTGTAGTTGTGCCCGCATTCACCACTTCCTCAGGAGGTTCATTCTACATGCGAACTATGCTCTATGTAAAAAATTTGCTCTCATGTCTTTCTTAAATCATTCTCCCTAAAAATATGCCCCCTAGTCTTGAAAACCCCCATTCTAGGGAAAACACAGCTACCATTAACTCTATCTATAACACTCATGATTTTATAAACTGCTATAAGGTCACCTTTCAACATCCTATGCTCCACTGAAATCTACAATTTCTTATACGGCACAGGTTTTGGTCTGTATCTGAGGCATTATTACCAAGATTTTGATGAGTATATATTCATAGAAACCAGTGAGAAACAATTTTCTTAGCCATATCAATACCAGACTGGAATGTTCAGAAGCTATAATATGCTATAGGCTATTTGGCCCAACTAGTCTGTGTTAATGATTATCCTCCACATGAATAAATGGTGTCTGGGATAGAAAAAGTATTGAAAATAACGGTTCTGGAATCATTCCTGGAGGTTCATCATCACATCCACATTCTCTTTTGTGGATTTAAAAAAAGTGGAGAATTTGCAAGGAAGTGCGATGGGGTTGTTGGGGGGTGGGGGATGGGGGTATGGGGTTCTGGTGGCTGAGTCAAGAAAAGGAAACTTTAGTCAGAGCTGGAAACAAATAAAAGCTAAGGGTTCAGGCATAGATAATGGGAAATTGATGGAATAAGGAACAAGTTACGTCAAAGGTTTTGTTAATGATAGTCAGGAATCTGCTGAAAAGCCACATGGAGGTTAGTTACGATTTATCTCTTCCCCTTTTTTAAGATTACTGGACCAGCTACTGATAACAGCAGAAAGCAGTAATTTTCCCTGATTAGTTCATTATTATGAATGAGAACATCTACTAATCAGAAAGCTCAGCTTCATCTGAACCAATCAGAAAACTTGAAAACAAGCCAATAAAAATACAAACAAATCTGTGCTAGAAAGATTTATGTTGCCCATGTTGGCTTTGAAAACTAATCAAATTAACAGAAAATCTTTCCGTTTTTCATAAATGAATTTCTTAAGTAGTTACAGCATTTCAACTATCTTTGTCATTTGTGAATCCCACAACAGAATATTGCAGCATTTAGAATGTGTGCTTCTACAGACCACGTGGGAGTGAATGAGAAGCAGATACCTTGATATAATGAGCAGAAATAAGTATCTCATTTCATGTTAACCAAAAAAAAGCTTTTAGTTTACCTTGTGACTGTACTTTAACAACAAAAGTGCTCAATCCTTTCTTCTTCTTAACAAAAATGCATTTTAACAGTTCAGCAGGTTTTTAAAGATAATGCAGTCACATTAAAATTACATCGTCCTATGAAGACAAGCCTGGCTTTCATACTGCGTTCTTCATACATAAATGAAAACGGGCAGAACATGGGAACTTGAGACATAAATACCGTCCCTGCACAGGAAAGAAGCCGGAACACAGGCTTGCTTTATATTCCCAGGAGGAACCCAGTGGAGCCAGAGAGCCACAATTATAATTGTTTCCAAGGCAATAGTACTTCAGTGAGAGAGCATTCACTGCAAAGTTGTTGCTAACACTAGGCGTCCTTTCTTCTTTTGCACAATACAAAGTGAACTGCTGTATGGAATTATCACCCAGGTGCCATGACGCATGACAAAAAAAGGCAACTTTGCCCTCGACGAGAAGGCACTGGAGTTAGTTAACTGTAATGCTGTCTGAACTTTAACTTGAAATATTCTGTCTTTAACATATTGAGGGATAGAAGTAAACAGCGACACATTTTAATAGGCAAAAAAAGAGGAAAGGGAATATCAACTAAATAATATGATTCTAAGGGGGATTTAGGAGCAGAAAGGCCGGATGATAGACGTTGCACACATTGTTGAAAGTAGGAAGGAATGTTGATAAAGTGGTAAATAAGGTATCTGAGATGAGGGCTTTATAAATAGAGGACTAGAATGTAAACATATGGAAGTTATGTTGAACATTTATAAAATAATGGTTTGAACTTAACTGAAGTAGTATGTTCAATTCTGGGCATCACACTTTTGGAACAAAGTGAAAACATTGAAGACAGCAAAGAACTAAGAAAACGGTTGCAAAGGTAAAAGACTTCAGTTACATGGATAAATTCAATGGCATTAATATTGCAAAATCCCCAGCATCAACATCCTGAGCAGAAACTAAACAGGACCAACAAAGATCAAGGACAAGTTGAGTGAGTGGGCAAA